GGCACCACCAACACTACTGCTATGACACTCACACCAACACCTACTACTTGCGCACCTTCGGCCACAACACGATGGACGCGGTGCCCAGGATCGACCACTACCGGCACACGGCCACGCAGCTGGGCGAGAAGCTCCTCCGGCCCAGCCTGGCGGAGCTCCACGACGAGTTGGAAAAGGTGAGGTCGCCCAGCCTCCCCCGCCTTCCCCAACCCCTGGAGCGTGCTGACTGCGGGATGTGGCCGCCGACTCCCTGGGCGAGGTGGCGGGAATGGACGTGCAGGACTCGCTGGCATCTCCGGATTCAGCTGTCACGGGTGGAATTGCAGAGGAATGTAACTTAATCTCTGAAAAGTTTTGCAGCGGGTTAGTTACGTGATACCAGAGAGGCTGCATTAACCTTCCCCATCTAGTTACATATCTCCTGTACGCTGGCTTTCTCACCCATGCTTGACAGTTACCACCCTTCTGAATGACAGTTGTTTGTGGGCCCTGGGAAGGCAGTGAGAGGAGGTTTAGGTGAGGACCTCCCTCGGGAGAGGGTGGAGAGAACCTACCATCTGTGTCCTTTTAACGAGATTGTGTTTTATGGCCTATGTACACCTATTAGGGATCCCAGGAGTAGGAACGCTAGTGTTTGAAGGAAAGTCCATGCAGGGTGTGCTTGTGGTCTATGAATTATTAAAGCTCAATGCTTGCAGTCTTCTGCTTGCAGAAGATCATAGAACTCAGAAGTCTTTAGACGTGCTGTTCCATAATAATGGCATAAACCCATCTTTTTATAATGTAAACCTTTTAAGGAGGGCTACATAGAAAAAAAGTGGGGGAGGGATTTAAAGAAAAAGAAACAGAATTACGTTTTTGTTTTTTGTGGATTATGTCCAGTAAGACCTCCTTGGTCTTTGTATAAGCAGTTATATTGTACTTTGTGAACAGACAACTAGCCACATTAACTCTTACTGATTTTTGTAAATTTTTTTTTTTTTTTGTCTTTAAGTAATCTGGGTTTTTTTTAATGCCACATAAGGCACTTCTTTCTTTAGGGTTCAAGATCGTTATTTTGAGATAACATTGATGCTTTTGAGTTTCAGTTAATATTTAACTTTGTTATGAATTGGGATTACTTTAAGTCTGCCTTTACGAGTGTATGACTATATTGATGGAATTTTGTGAATGTTGAGTATCAATTACATACATTGAAATGGTCATAGTGTGAAAAGTTTAATACCAATTAAGGGATTTCTTTTGAATATGATTATTTTATCTCATATAGTAATTTTTACATAAGACTATTGTCTCAATGTTTGATAATGTAACATTCAGACAGTGAAATAATTACAGAGGTCCCAAATCTTATAGCTTATTGATTGTTTAAAAGCCTAACATCACTTAGATTTAGATAGTGATTCCATTGTGGTATTTTGTCAAATCAGAAACAGAACCATTTTTACACACTTACACTCCTATAGTTTCATTCCCTTGTATTCTTTTTAAAATTTTATTATTTTATTATCATTTTACTTACTATTTTAAAATTTACTGTAGGACATATGTGCTCACCAGAGAGAGCGAGTGCTCTCAAGAGAAAGCAATCAGGTCCAGGACTCAAACCATGTGGGAGTACAGCGCCTTAAACACCATGCTACCTGCTGGCCCCCACATGTATTCTTTTTTTTTTCCTTGTCAAAATTCAAAAATTTTTGTAGACTAAGGTACGGATGGAGTTGGTAATTTTCTTAGAGCATTTTTGCTAAAATGTTATGCACATATAGTTCAGATTTATTTCACCAAAGCCACATAGTTTAGCGGTAAATACACAGACACACACACACACACACACACACACACACATATACATATGCGCACATAGGTATATAGTCTGTTTTTACCTGTAAGTTTTCCAAAGACTTCAGATTGAAGATGTTGTGTGCCTTGAATTTACATGTTTCATAGGGAAGCTTTTAATTAAAATTCTCTCAGTAACAAAGCCCTTAGAATTTTCCAAAACTTTAAGGTTATTGTTTTTGTTTCGGGTGTTTTGAGTCAAAAAACAGAACACACCTGTATTGTTACCTGTATGGTAGTTGAAGAAGTCACCCAGTCTCTCAGCTTTGCCTTCCTTTACTTTCCTTTACTTAATCTACTGTGACAATTAAGAAAAAAATTCAGTAAAAAAGTTCATGCTCATTGGTTGGAAAACAATTTACTAGTGTAGTTATTATTTTATTATAATATTGGCCCTTAAGAAAGTGCAGAAGGGAACCAGCAGTTGGCGTAATGGCTATGTTGCTGGACTCCCATGTAGTTGACCACAGTTCGTGTCCCAGACCCAGTGGCTTAAAACTCACGCTGGGCACGTGTGCATGCGTGCCCAAGATCCCAAGAGGAGAATGGAGGAGAAGGGATTGTGGCGTGACCATCCCCCCTGGGGGGTGATTTCTCGCTTTCTGTCTCTCTGTCTCTCTGTCTGTCTGGCGAGCGCACGTGCCCTATAGCGAAAATCTCTCCCCCCCCCAAAAAAAAAAGTGCAGAAGAAATGTACTATTCAATTTTAGATCCTCTTTATTCCTACAGAATTAATGAACACAGTCTATAAAATGTTATACTCAGATTTTTTTTCTGCAGCAGATAGTATGAGTTTTTTGTAGTTCTTACCTTCTGCAACCCATATCTTTTTTTTTTAAGGAATTATTTTATTTTATTCATCACTATTACTATTATTTTAATTTGACCGGGGTGAGGTAGGGGAGTGGGAAAACAGGCCTCCAGATCCAGAACTCAAACCACTGGTTGGCCATGTGGGAGTCTAGTGCGGTTTAACCACCATGCCACCTGCTGGCCCCTACAACTCATAGGGATCTATTACATGAACTAATAACCACATATTGAAGATAATTTTGCTTAGGATTTTAGAAGTGTGATTAAAGAAATATGCATTATGTGAAGTATTATAGATAAGCCTGTATACTATTGTTGATGAAAACTATAGATGGGAAGAGTAATAAATGGGTTGGTTAGATTTCCCCCCAAATCATTCTTCTATCTAGATTGATTTTTCTCCTTGCTAAAACCTCAAATGCTTCTAGTTCTTAGTGAATTATAATAATTTAGAATTTCTTCAACATTTAATTCTGCTGTTTGGTTGATTGTCACCTACAGCACTTTTCTTTGGTCACTAAGTACTGAAGTATCTACCATAATTCTAACTCTGTGCTGGAAGGAAAATGTCAAGGACACGTGTGCTTGACTTGTAGGGGAAAGGCTTATATTGACCCTCTTCTTGAATTCCTTTCATTACCTATTACTGACTTTTAAAAAGTATTTTTGTTTAAATGTCCAACTATCAAGGAATAGTTAAATGACCTTAATGAATCCTGCTGTATTATGCAACTATTCTAGGACCAGGGTTCATATGTTCTCTATCAAATAGTTCTTGGAGATGGGGGAATCTTAGGTGGTACCTGACTGTGGCACTTTATGCAATGATTAGCAAAAGGTACACTGTCTCAGTCCGGGCAGATATTAACTACATAGTTGGACAAATAACATAATCATAAACTTTTTTCAGTGCTACGGAAGAAAAAGATAGCTGGTAATAATACAGTAGGAAAAATAAGGGGGGGGGGAAACCAGCAGTGGGCATAATGGCTTCAGATTTTTTTTCTGCAGCAGATAGTATGAGTTTTTTGTAGTTCTTACCTTCTGCAACCCATATCTTTTTTTTTTAAGGAATTATTTTATTTTATTCATCACTATTACTATTATTTTAATTTGACCGGGGTGAGGTAGGGGAGTGGGAAAACAGGCCTCCAGATCCAGAACTCAAACCACTGGTTGGCCATGTGGGAGTCTAGTGCGGTTTAACCACCATGCCACCTGCTGGCCCCTACAACTCATAGGGATCTATTACATGAACTAATAACCACATATTGAAGATAATTTTGCTTAGGATTTTAGAAGTGTGATTAAAGAAATATGCATTATGTGAAGTATTATAGATAAGCCTGTATACTATTGTTGATGAAAACTATAGATGGGAAGAGTAATAAATGGGTTGGTTAGATTTCCCCCCAAATCATTCTTCTATCTAGATTGATTTTTCTCCTTGCTAAAACCTCAAATGCTTCTAGTTCTTAGTGAATTATAATAATTTAGAATTTCTTCAACATTTAATTCTGCTGTTTGGTTGATTGTCACCTACAGCACTTTTCTTTGGTCACTAAGTACTGAAGTATCTACCATAATTCTAACTCTGTGCTGGAAGGAAAATGTCAAGGACACGTGTGCTTGACTTGTAGGGGAAAGGCTTATATTGACCCTCTTCTTGAATTCCTTTCATTACCTATTACTGACTTTTAAAAAGTATTTTTGTTTAAATGTCCAACTATCAAGGAATAGTTAAATGACCTTAATGAATCCTGCTGTATTATGCAACTATTCTAGGACCAGGGTTCATATGTTCTCTATCAAATAGTTCTTGGAGATGGGGGAATCTTAGGTGGTACCTGACTGTGGCACTTTATGCAATGATTAGCAAAAGGTACACTGTCTCAGTCCGGGCAGATATTAACTACATAGTTGGACAAATAACATAATCATAAACTTTTTTCAGTGCTACGGAAGAAAAAGATAGCTGGTAATAATACAGTAGGAAAAATAAGGGGGGGGGGAAACCAGCAGTGGGCATAATGGCTATGTCATTGGACTCCCATGTAGTCAACTGTGATTCAAGTCCCTGACCTGGTGACTTAAACTCACGCTGGGCGCGTGCGCCTGCCCAAGATCCTGAGAGAAGAATGGAGGAGAAGGGATTGAAGCCCCCCACCCCTACCCCCACCCCTGGGCGTGGGGGTGGGGGGTAATTTCTTTCTTTCTGGACAGCACGCGTGCCCTATAGCAAAAATGGGGGGGGGAGAACAGTAGGACCTAATTTTAATTGGAGTTTGGGGGGCGCTTTTTGAAGTGCAAATTGAAGCTGAGACCTGAAAGGTAAGTTGGTAATAGGGTGGAACAACTTTCCAGCCATAGAAAGGCCTATATGAAGGTAGTGAGGTAAGAAAGAGTGGTGTGTCTCCAGAACTAGAAAGAGGCCAGTACATTTCATTGTCAGTGTAGTGGCAAGCTGAAGAAGGATTTCACGTGAGGCAGTGACATCCCTGGTTGCTGGGTGGAGAATGGA